CTACCGACCTACCGACCTACCGACCGACCGACCCACCGACCCACCGACCCACCGACCTACCGACTTACCGACCTACCGACCTACCCACCGACCTACCTACCTACCTATACCTACCTACCTACATACCTACCTACGTTCAAACATACATACGCGCATTCGTACATACATACATACATACATACATACATACATACATACATACATACACACATGGGGTATTTTGCTTGTTTGTCAACATCTGTTTGTTGCCCTCGGGCCGAAGCCCCTGAAACCGAATCGAAACTGGGCGGTTTGCCAAGAGCCAAGGGGCGGTCTCTGCTGCATGAGCTGCTCGATCTCGTACTCTGGAAGGGACTCCTGTGGCTTCAATTATGTAGGGGTATCTAGCTGTTCTTGAGGCTTGTTGTCAGGCTCATGCTGTGTAGGGTCTTTATTGATGCTACTGCTTTCCTGGAATTCTTGAAACAAACCAGCAAACAGACAGAGAAACAGGTCTTGGCTCAGGAGCTATCGCTGCTGAGAAAGCCTCAAAGCGCACCACTTGCTTCGCACGGAACTTAGGTCAGGGCCTCATCGGGGAATATGGGCGGAGAATATTGCAAAACCTTCAGACCGGTTCAAGCCTGGTCTCTCACCTTAGCCATGCAGCTCAGCATCAGAGACGTCCCGGCCGTTGATCTCCACCACCACCTACCCAACATGCGGCTTCGCCTGTGTAGCTTCGTGCTTCGGCTTTTTGCCATAGTCCAAATGCATGTCCCAGGCCCTGAAACCCTGAAGCCTAGGCAGCTTGCACTGTGGTTGAGCGTCTTTGGTCTAGAGCCTAGAGTTCCGAGTGAAGTTTGCCAGCCAGGTGTAGCAAGAAGCCCAAATCCCTCGTGCAGCTCTATGTAGGGCGTTGGGTTTTGGGGTTCACCTGTGTCTCTTTTGTAGGTTCCATTTGTGGTCAACCAGTTCTACGGCTAAGGCCTCAACATGAATAAACGCTGGACAGAACAAACGAAGCTGCAATGGAGACCACAACCAGAGAAGCCTGAACAATTAGTAATACTGTTGCTTCGGATTCCTTATACAAACCCAAAAAAATACGCCAAGACACCTTGTTGCAGGCCTTACCGAAGCTTTATCCTAGCCCTTACGGACCCGTTTTCGGGACCCTTTCAAGGACCCTCTTCGACTGATCAAGGCCCCAGCCATAAATGCCCAAATAGGGTTTAGGGTCCAGGGTCGACTGTCGGGGCCCAGCTGTCTCTGCCCTAATGGGAGCTAGGATTAAGGGGACCCTTGGGGATATAGACCCTCTCAATAAGGTCCCTGTTAAGGGAGCCACAAGTAGGGTTAAGGAGGGTCCCCTTTAAGGGGTCTCCCTCACATTACCTAGGACCTAAACCCCTGATATAGAGGCCTTACTAATTCGAAAAGGGCTTTGACTAAAAAGAATAGTTATATTTAGGGAACCCCAATGAGAGATAATGCTCGTTATCTAGGCCTCTATAAAATCATCAATGAGTGTGGTGAGGGTTAGGGCTTAGATTATCGGGTTCAGGCTTTAGGGTTTAGTTACTCATGGATACATCCTGGTGCTGCTACTGTTTGCTTCACATTCTCCATGCATTCCGAGCACCGGCGCTCATGCTCCTATGTGAGGGTTGTTCTGTATCCTTGTTCCACGCATGCCAATTAGGATCCCTTGCGCTTCGCCCTTGCGCATGCTTGCGCCACGCGAAGTCTTTTGAAGGCTAGGGTTTGTTACAGTGGCTTGTTGACCTTTGGTGGCTTCGAGTCCAAGCTTCGGCTGCGGGTAAAACACTGGGGATTCAAGGCTCAAGAAGTTAACAGAGGCTTCAGTAGCAGAACCTGAACCTTCTACAGCACTGAGTATAACGCTGGAATCAAGCTTAACAATAAGCCTTGAGCACAGCTTGCGCTTGCCGTTGCGTGCCCTTGCGCACGATCGGAAAGGTGTGCAATTTTTAAGCGACCGAGCTTTTGCTAATCGCCCTCCTAGTATTTTCAAAAGAACCCACCGAAAAGAAGAACGCTCATGCAGCGCCTCCGGACATCGTTCGGGTGGAAAGGCTGCTTGTTTTGATGACGTGGGCCAGCATGGAGTCAAGAGCATGGGCTGCGTTTTGTCATAGCACCGGAAGTAAACAAAAATAGATTGATTGTGGAAGGGGTGAAGGCCGGGCTCGAGAAACAAAATCGAACAGATGCACCACTGTCAGCACTTCACGAGTTGTGCAAGTCAGCACTATCTAAGTCCTTTAATGGTCTTCCGGACCCTTTCCAGTTGACAGGACAAAGATGCAATGATTTATTGCAGCATCACCCCAACTTCGAGGAGATCAGTTGCTGCACGCTCTGCCAAGGATGTCTGTTCATCTGGCAGGTTAAAATCGGTAGGACACTAGAACACTCCTTCTAAAGCCCCGAAGAAGGCCGTTAGCCCTCTCTGAGCAAACACATTCGACATAACTTGGTAAAAGCTCAAGATGGTGAAACGGTGAAACCGTAACCACTTCTCATGTGTCAGGTCGGTCTATCGTCGACCGTCGACGTGAGAGACAAATTAATAAAGCAACCAAGGTCAGAGCGAGGGAAGAAGAGGTCGAGCTCAAATGAAAAAACAATCCTCCGGCGTGTCTTCGGAACTGACATCGCGAGGCCTTGGGCCTCTCAATGCCTCTACCAGGGATTCTGGTGCGTTGACAACTTGTGCAAGATCCGCCGCTGTCTTCTTGCGCGAATTTCGGGCATCCGTGCAGGCCCTGGCAGAGAGAAGCAGAGATGCAATCTCGAAGCTCCCGGTCAAGATGGAAAACCTTGCTTCCCGGAGCACGTCATGAAACCAGGGTAAGCTTCCAAAACCATGGAGAAAAGCGTTTAAACAACAACAACAACAGCAACAACAACAACAACAACCAACAACAACAGCAACAACAACAACAAACAACAACAACAACAACAACAACAACAATACCAACAACAACAACAACAACAACAACAACAACAAAAAAACAAAAACAAAAACAACAACAACAACAACCACGACGACGACAACAACAACAACCACAACAACAACAACAACAACAAGAAGAACAAGAACAATAACAAGAACAAGAACAAGAACAACAACAACAACAACCACAACCACAACCACAACAACCGCAACAACCACAACCACAGCCACAACAAAATCAGCAGCAGCAACAACAACAACAACGACAACAACAACAACAACAATTACAACAACAACAACAAC